TGGCTCAGGGTACTACTGTGCACACAGTGCTGTTTTAAAGGTACTGTAATGCTGTTTCTTCTCTCCACCTTGCCTGTCCCTCCATCCAGGAAGGTCCATTTTATCTCATCTAATCACCACACAGGTCTGGAGGTGGTGAGCTGAAAAATTCTTCCTTAACCTGCAAAATGGAGAAATAAACTTCTCTATACCACAACAGCTTTTGAGGCCAAAGCACTGCTTGTATGGGTAATTGTAAAAGTTCCCTTCTAGTACACATGTAAAATATGTGCTCTGGAGTTGTTAGGGTTTTGGGGTTTTTTCCATGTGCTTAAAATACCCCTGTGCATACCAGCATAGCTATGACTGAATATAACATGACCTGACAGAAATGCCAGGGTAGAAACTCAACTTTGGCAGGTAGATTTGCTCAGAAAAATAAGTGCAGATTGAAGTTTCTTTTGCTTTTAAACTCGCTGTTTGGCAAAAAGCCCTCCAGAACAGAGGAAACTCTTCAGCAAGTCTGGAACGAATCAGGAGTTTGCTTGACATGCTTCAGTCTTTCTGCTACAAGTATCAAGGTAGTTGAGGACAGAGCTGCTTGTGTGTGCACACCAAAACCAGCTGGCTTCCTCCTGCCCACAGGCCAGGACTGGCAGAGCACATCGGAGTCAGGCTGTGGGGGTTTGCACAAGTGACTGAACAGTTACAGCGCCTGGAGGTCTCCTCACATACACTGGACACACACATTCCTTTCCCACTACCCCAGGACTGCAGGTCACGTTGCAACACACCAATCTAATGAACGAGGCACAAAAATCCAGAAAGACAAAGAAGAACAAATCAAAAAGAAAAACAAAAAAAGAAACATGAGTAATCAAAATGAAATGTGGCCCCAGCTCAAAGTAACACACAAAGAGCAAGGCACTCCCAGGGGCAAATCCCACAGCAGCTGGTTGGCTGCCAGCTTGGATTGCAGAGTCCTCCAGGGCTGGGGGTTTCAGCCATCATTTCTTTTGAGGATACAAAAGTGGTCTGCAAAGGCTCTGTGTTGCAATGCAGAAAAGGCCTTTGTCTGGTAAGTCAGTGATAGGAGAGCCACGATTCCTGAGTGCCACACAGGGGGCCTAGCAGCTGACTGTCATAAGTCATAGGCGTAATATTGCTTCTCTTCTTCTTTTCTCCCTTGCCTGGCTCTCCCCTGCCCCTGCCTCCCCTCAAGACATTTAAAAAGCTCCTCATGTATTAGTTACAGAAATAAAAAAATGCAACTTTAGGACATTCCTCTGCCTTGTCAGCACCAGAGATTTGCTCAATTTCTCCCCTAAGACCCAAGTCATCAGTGTAGCTGCCAAATACAAATTCTCACTGTACTTAAGGAAAGCTGTTTGCCTGAGTTTGCGTGGCATGATTTGCCGTGGTGCTGTTAGCCTTGGCTTCACGCAGGAGAAAACATCATCCCTGGAAGAGGCAGCTTTGAGGGGGCTCAGATACACAAGCCCTACAACAGTCTGTGCTGCTGCAGCTGCTGTGTGTAGGCAGCTTCAGGAATAAAAAGAAGCTGTAGATGAATCTCTTCCTAAAGACAGCCAAGGTCTTACTCCAACCCCAGGCTAAGCCACCAGCTCAGCACATGAACACCAGACCAGTAAAACAAATGGGCTCCAGTAAGTTGTGGTCTCCATGCAAGTTCCTGCATCAGCAAAGCTATTGTGGCTGTTCACACGAGCGTGCCTCGTGATGGCAGCAGCGAGGGGCTGTGACCCAGCTTCAGCCTCGGTGAGCAGGGGCAGGCAGTGACCGTGCTTCATCCTGCAGTCAGGGTGAGCCCAGAGACAGCCCAGGCGGTGGAGACAACTCCAGTGATAGGCAGGAATTTGTCACGCTGTGCTACTGCCCGAGTCCTCTGGCCAGGGAAAGAAAACGGAGCATGGAAGACTGAGTTTGTGTAACCTTCTTCACCCTGCTTCCCAGTCTACTCTGAGGAAACATTAATTCAGAAGAATTCTCCTCCAGTGCTTCTTTAATAACTGATGTTATTATTTGTATTGCGATAGCCTCTGGGTCCTCACCACAGCCCAGACACTCTTGTGCCAGGAGAACACACATCACAAATGTTTCAGAGACCATCAAGCACACATGGTAGAAAAAAGAAACCTCAGTCAGCAACTAGGGCCCTGTCTTGGTGGGCACTACCCACACACAGTGGCTAGGGAATAATGCAGTTCTCATATGGTTTACAGCTTTATTTAAATACGCTAGAAAGGAGCTGTCTTTGGAAGAAAGCAAAAGAGAGACTAGTTCCCTCCTCAAAGCAAGAGACAGCCTGTAGTGAGGAGGGCATAAGGCCCACGGACAGCATTCCTCAAAGGATGGGGTGGTTCCTGAATTGTGAAGTGGATTCTTCCAGACATTGTGAAGTATTCATACCTTGAGGGAAGATTAGTTTTCAATAGTCACAACAGAGGCTCTTCCCTAAACACACTCATGAAAAGAGGGGCAGCTCTATTTGCTGACATTGTCTCACTGTCCTTGTCTCAGGCCTTTTATTTAGACAGCAAGTTCTTTACAGCTTCATCTTCTTTGCATGATGTCACACCTAAGGGGATATTGTCCATGACTCACTGGGAGGGTAATACAAATAACAACATTTCATGGCTGGGGGCAGACAGAGGTTATCACTACTACAAACTGCAAACAAAACTGCAGTTAAAGCTCCCATGAGCTTAGATGAACTCTAGCATATCTTACTATGATGGTAGTTAAGTTCTAGTTCTAGTAAGACACAACAAAAATTGAGTGGGGAGGTGAGTGGCTGTGCATCATGGAAACCAAAGAGTACAAACTGTTGTTAACAGAAGCCAAAAGTTTTTTAGGGACCCTTAGGACAGACGGGAGAAGACGCATCCCCCAAAAGATGGTTCATTTGCCTTCTCTACCTTAAGGCAGTGCAGACTTTCAAATCCCTGGCAAGCCATATTAACTAGGCCATAATCCTTCCCCCTCAGGCCTCACAAAACCCAGTAAAGTTGTTATTGCCAAAAGGGTGCTCGGCACACAGATGTGTTCAGCTATTAACAGGCTCTACAACTATTTTCTGTCTAGTGAGATAAATGGTGAGCAGAATGAGCATGCCCCTGGGTTCTACCAGAAAGCTGTTGAAAAGCTGAAAAAAGCTTTCTGGGAAGACAGAAAGGTGGTGGTGATCAAATGCTAGAACAAATCCTAGAGCAGTGATCTTCCTGTGCAAGCCTGCACATTTCCAGTACTGATGTGACCGTGTGTCTTGTCTGAACTGCTTCACTCAGCCATGTTGTACAAGCACTAAGGTTGTACCTTGATGGTCTGTGGATACAAGCTCGATGCAGATGTCATGGCAGAGGGTGGTTATCTCCAATCTACTGCTCTAATTGGAAAAAACCCCAACAGACCAGTGGTAAAACCCATGGGAATGGCCTGAAGTTGTGTCAGGGGAGGTTTAGGTTGGATATCAGGAAAAGGTTCTTCACCCAGAGGGTGGTCAGGCACTGGAACAGGCTCCCGAGGGAAGTGGTCACAGCATCAAGCCTAGAGAGTTCAAGAAGCGTTTGGACAATGCTCTCAGGCTCATGGTGTGACTCCTGGGGATGTCCTGTGCAGGGCCAGGAGCTGGACTCGATGATCCGTGTGGGTCCCTTGCAACTCAGCATATTCAGTGATTCTGTGACTCTCTGTTGGGCATGGTGAAGTTTGTATACCTTCTTCTGTGCCCTTTTTTCAGTTTTATCAGTTTTTCTGAAAACTCATTAACTCGCCCTGGCCACTGTTAGGCTGGTTGCTTAATTGCTACTTGTGATGAAACCAGGCCACAGAGACCACAGTGGATTCGTTACCTCTCTAGGTTAAAACTTTACTCCTGTGGTTTTCAAGACTGCACAGGACTAAGTACCCCTGGTGGTAAATCCTCTAGGACATCATTTAAGACCTCTATTGTAACAATATCAAATAAACTGAGCTGACTTCCTACAATATTGCTGTCTTGCAGCAACAAAGAGAAACAATTTAAAAGAATTAGAAAAAAATATGCTACATTGAAGAAATACACCCAGAGCTTCAGTACTGGTCCTCAGTGACCCTCACAACCCATGGGCTTTTTCTGTTCCACTCTCCTTTTCCATATGGAGGCTGTCTCCACAAGGGAAACAGCCACACTGTTGATTCTACACTGCCTCATTTCCCATGCAGCTTTTGCACTCTGGAGAGGACCAGTGGAAACTGCTATTAAATTTAGCTTCTGCAGCTTCACATTTGCCTTATATAAGTATATAGTGCCCACAGAAAGTGTGAGGTGCAGCAGAGAGAAAGCACTGCTCAATGAACACAGGCAAACAAAATGCAGAAATCCAGAATGGACTTTGCCCACAGCTGCTCCCTTCCCCCAGTTACTGCACTTGAAATTAATTTAGAGCAAAGAAAACCATAAAGTACATCAGTGATGCAGTTTTCAAGTCTGTGGCGTCACTAAGAAAAGCAATGAGCCACTTCCATCACAGGGCTTCCGTGGACCTCCATTTCTGCACTTTGGGGGTGCCAGGAGTGATGCTCGCACAGAAATCCTTGCAGCTGGACTTCATCTGGAGCCTCTGGCCAGCCTGCTGTAAAGAAACTTCAGAACTGAGAGCAGTTACAACTGCAATACTATTTGTACCATCTCCTTCAGTTCAAAACACGTCACTGCTAGAGGCAATTTGTGGGCCCTCTTCCATATCTGCCTCTTAAGACTAACTTCTTAAGAAATAACTTCGCTGCAGTTATGTTATTTCCCCTCTTTGGCTTTCATTTAGGAAAACTTTTCAAAAATCACTAAAAGGAGAATTACTGCCAACACTGACCTTTATTTTCACCCAAAGGCACAAATCAACTAGGTGTGACACACACTTTCATTCCCTTTTTCTTCCTTTTCTTTCTTCTACCAAATATTTTAAAGTAATGAAGATCAGCTCAGCACTGAGCCTGCAAAGAAAACGCACATGGGAGAGGAATTACTCATAATGCTTACAGTTCAGCATTACAGCAGTAGAAACATATATTTAAATGTCTCATTTTACAGTATTTTGAGTGCAACAAGTCATTTAACCACCAAAATGTTAGAAACCACCATGTGAGACTAAAGACCACCACAAACAATATTTCAAATGCCAACATTCAATATTTCAATATTTCAGTATTTCCACAATGCCAAGCCCACAGGGAACAATTTATAGAGGGAACTTTTTGGCATACAAAGGAAAATAAGGCAGTGAACAAAGTGGCTTGGTATTTTAAATTTGTAAAAATAGTAATTGACAGTATTGTTATGAAAACAAATGCAAGATAAAAGAGGCTGGGAGAGGAGGCTGAGAGAGGGGAAACAACCCACAGGGCCAGCTGGTCTCTTGTGAAAGTATCTACTGAACTGCAGAATTTGGAATGGCTGGTGACACTTTACACAAATAAGGTACCTTTTAAAAAAAGGTGACTGCACACATAACCTGGAGTTTCTCATAACTCCCTCATTAGTCGATGGATTCTTGAATAAGCTTTTGTTTTTACTGAACTAAGTAAAACTATGTGGCCAAGCACGAAGCTGTACTGACCACTTGTGCTCAAAGCAGTGTGCGTAGGTCACTGCTCCAGCTCGGGATGTAATGCTTCACACTACCATGAGCTGCAGCACAGAAACCAATCTATGGCTCTAAACATCTTTTTCTAGGGCATAGGTCCGTAGGCACAATGCCGAGTCGTGCTGGAAAAACCAGGTCTCGAGCCTCTCCAGCTGCAGCACAGCAGCTGAAGGAGATGGGTGTGATGAATCACCCAGTGCAGGACATGGCACTGCCTCCGGCAGGGAGCTGTAAGCGATGGCAAAGGCAGAAATGCAGAGCTCAACAGCAGCTCTTGCCTCAGACCCTTCTTCTCTGAGGACAAGGCACACGTTAGAGTACCCATAAAGCATCATGTCCAACCGACAGGGACCTCAGCGAGGAGGTGGTTCTTACTCACCCCTACTCTTCCCACCCCAAATATTTAAAATGCCTTAATAAAGACAATCTGCCTTAATGAGAAAAATCCCATGAACGTCCCTGGGCTGCTAACATGGCAGAACAGTTCAGCAACGAGCAGCTGTAGTGACTCACACGTGAAGCTGACCTCACGCTAGCTGTTCAGCCAAGCCACTTCTCTAAATTCAATGCATCTGAGGAATTGGGGAAATTCACTTTTTGTGTAACAGGAGAAAACATATTTGAGAAGATCTGGTCCATGACATGTTCATACAGACATGATTCCTGGTTTCCACACCACCTCTTAAAACCACACACACTCAGTAAAGAGACATTTATTCCATTATTTCTGTTTTCAAATTTTTGGTACAAAGTTTATTTTCAGAAGTTCTCACATGATCCTTTCTTCTATCAGCGTCTTTTAGGATTTTTCTATCTCTGATTTATTTTCTTTATCTGTTGAAGCAAAAGCAATAATTGCTACAGAAAGCAATAATGGCAATATTACAAATATTTTACAGCAGCATCCATTCGTTTCTTTGCCTCAAAAAAATAACAAAAATAAATCCAAAGACAAGATCCATTCGGCCACAAAGGCTTAGGTTTGTAATATCCGGAAGTATGCTGCGTTCCCATATATGAGTTGTACAAGTCCAGCACAACCTTCCAAGTTTGTGCAGAGCCTGATAAATAAGACACAGAAATATCAGTTACGTTATACTGTTTCTAAGAACTTTTACTCTGTAAAATGTTTGGTCACTCAAAGCTATAAGCTTAATCACATATCAAAGAACACAGGCAATAAAGCCCATCTTACTAGAACATATAGTATTAGGCCAAACAAAATATAAGAGGACAAAATCTAGTGGTCACTGAAGCCTCTTCAAAAAAGGTCTAAAACAGAATGTTTCCATCATGTATCAGAATAAAAACGTACTGTATTAAAATTTGATTTTTTTTTTTTTACAAGCTGTCTTTTAATCAGTCTTCTATTTACAGTGCAGAACTGCCAACTGCAGTAGTTTAACTTTGGCACAACACTAAGTTCCAATCCTTTTGAGTATTCAAGTCCTGTGTGTGTCCAAAAATTTTCTTGGTTTCACGAAAGATTAGGCCCATTCACAGTTAACCAGTTATCTTGAACTTTTTCAAGAATTGCTTCCCCTTCACCACACTGGGCAGCTACAAAGGAAAGACATTGTAAGCTATTGCATCATTCAAAAGAAACTCTTCATTCTAAACAGTGACAGTATTGTTGCTTCCTTTAACATCACATACACCAGACAGATCACACAGACAGCTACATACTGGACACCTTTCTAAAAACCTTGCTGGTCGTTAGTGAATCATCTTCCTCATACTTCAAATACATAACAATGCATTAACTTAATTTCATTTCACATGTCAAACAGGACATTTAAATATATTGCAATATATTATAGAAAATTGCAAAGCGCCATCATTTCTGTAAACGAGACTGACACCTGTTAACTCTCCTGTGCACATGAAGAGCAGTACCTAGTGCCACATTTTCTATACAATATAAAGCCTTCCCAGGTAGGGCAACTCATTTTAGTGCATTTCTGTACAGACTGTAAGCATACATGCAGATAGCCAACTATGCAGGGTTGGAAATACTTCTGTAAGCTGAAACTGGAGGGTGGGGGGGGAACATTCCGAAATCATAGCAGAGCTCTTGTGGTTCATTGTTTTGTAGCTTAGATGAAGACTTGAATCTTCTGCTGTTCTAGCAGACTCTTTAGGGAGAGTTTCCTGATAAGTATCTAGTGTTGAATAAGCATAAGGAAATACTTTCATCAACTGAGACACAAATATTATGTGTCCTAACACATTCTAGGTTATGCACAGTCCAATGTTCACATAGTAACCTCATCTCTAAAACACTTGAGAAAACCCAAAGCATTTTTATGCCACAGTATTATAACCAAGGATCAGTTACATTACCCATCACTGTAGTGCTACCTGCTCTAGAATATAAAGAAAAAAAGAAAAAGGGAAAAAAAAAAGAAAGGCCTCCCGTCCCAACAAGCATCAGGTTGGAAGCAGAGGTAAGTACCGTTGCTAACCACAACACAAAGCTCAGCGCTGCAATCCAGACAGAAGATCCACCTCGCCTCATGACAGGTGTCTGTAGTGTCAGTGGCTGCCTGCAAAGCCACGTGTAAGTCAGGGGAGCTGGGGAGCAGTTCATCGACCGACTCCAGGCTCCAGGATGAGCAGGTTTGCATTCCTTGGCTGTACTTGCCCCAGTGCAAACATCAACATGCAATCAGAATCCCACCTTAATTCAAGAAAAGTGCTGTGGGATCCTCAGTTATCACTCTATGTTTTACAGTGTTGTGTAAGTCCATTTTGCAATGACTGTTCACTGAAAAAGTGCAGATGTTCTTCATCACAGAAAGAGAAAACTCCCCCAAGAGCTCCAGCCATTAAACTTACAAATACTGGCTATAACCCACCTGTGTTTCAAAATCTCCCTTTTTAGAAATGGGGAAACAATGCACAAATTTGATCTATTGTGTGTAAGTAGCTATTGAGGGGATTTTTCACTTTCTGTGGCAACTTCCATTTCAAAATATTTTCCTACAGAATACATCACCAAACCTCAAGTAACTTCATCCATAAGTCTGTGTCATGCTACTGGGTAAATCTACTTATCCTAGGATATCACAAGCTTAATGGAGAATACAGGTGTAACCTAGTACTGTTTAGTGTAGGGAACTGAGCCCTCTACTAGCTCTTTCCATCTCTAACTTACAAAGTCATTCCAGGCATTATAGACAACTCCCAACAGTTTTACTGCTCTCTGGTCATTGATACTATCTTTCCATTACTACTGAATGCAAGCAAAAATATTTTCAAAGAAAAAATAAATTAAATCAAAGAAAGTAGCTATATAGTTCATTGCACTCTATTTTTGTGCCTTCCGGTTAGGGCAGGGATATTTAACACTACAGAAGGTTAAAGATTATCTTCTCTCCTTGGGAGATATGAACATACACGGGTATGGGGACTCGGGTGCAGGACGCAAATCGGTACTATCATATTTACAGAAGCAAATAGTGACATCCAGCCTGAATACACAGTACTCTGTCAAGTGCAAAAGGGAAAATGCTCCCCACCTTAAACTACAGCCTCGTTACTCAGCAGCCAGAGACTGACTAGTTGTCAGAGTTACGGCTGTGCTCTCATTTCAGAGGAAAACAGAGGAGGAGAGTGTCTGCATCTTTGGGCTTTCTGGCCTATGGGGACTGCGTAAGGCCATGAATCACTTTGTACGGGATCCAGAAATGCTTTCTCCGCTCTGTGGAGGAGAAGGGAGTGCATTTTCCTGCCTCCAGAGCTCACTGGTGAATGAAAGAAAATCGGCTTTTGTCCGAAGTCAGCAAATCATGCATCGGGAAATTATTTCACATAATGTGTGGACATTGCATGAGTTTCCTTCCCAATGATCAAAGTTATACTCAGACACCATATTACATATAATGTAATGAAAAAGCCATTTTCAAAATTGCACTGGACAAGGTTAAAAAAGGGAATGGCCTCATTTACTATAGTGTATTAAGAGATAATACACTAAATTCTAATCATTAGGTATTAGATACCTCTTTCTCTCCTTTGCTTTAAAACAAAGCAGATATTTCTATGTGCTAAAAATTAGTGATTGAAATAATTTGCTCTTTCTGTCAGAACAGAACGGGTTAAAATTGTTTTGTTTATCAACTTCTACATAAGTAAATTCTGCAGGGCAGGCAAAAGAGCCTTCAGGCTTCTGCATTTTCCCTTCTTTCCACTTCTTACAAGCCAGCACTGTTAGATCATTCAAACCTTAAGGGAGGAACAGGTCTGACTTTATTTTTACAACACTAATTCTGGGGTCACTGAGAGGCTGACACTGGGAAGACAGCACTTTTTAAGATGGAACAGTGCTCTTTCACTGCACTCAGAAGCAAGGGCGAAACATGCCATGAAGGGGACAATACTGGGATGTCTCACCCAGCTGTGACATTGCTTTCTTTCTTTTAGCTCTTTTCCCTCTCTATTCTGGCTCAGGATTAAGTGTATTCTCTCTTTAGCTGAACTCCAGAAACAGCACAAGTAGCATCATCAGAGCAAGTACTCCTGGCAGAAACAGCAGATGAAGAGGAAAGCACCAGCTTAGCTCTACAGGAACTGATGCTCACAACTGAATTCTGAAAGAGTGGTCCCAACAAATACTGAGAAACCAGCCATCTGGGGGTAAGATCTAAGCAAGATCAGGGTTTCTTCATCTCACTGTCAATGACAATCACTGAAACCTGGCTCATAATGAGCTCAAACCCAAGAGGTGAAGCTGCACAGAAATACAGAAAACATACCACAGGTTCATCCAGACAGAGTCCTTTACCAGTCAGGAAAATTAACAAAAAGCCACATGGGCAGTCATCCCTGGACAGATGTATTTTCTTGCCCCCTCCCTTCCCACTGTCAATACAGTTCAGTCCAAGTGGCTTCCAAAACACCTTACAGGTGTGTATAAGCTACAAGAAGGAGCTGGTCTTGCAGGGGTGCACTGTCACAATAAATTAAGACACCTGCTGATGTGCCTGAAGTTCAGGAAGTTTCCTGCATGTAACGAGTAGAATGAGAAGGTGCCATATCAGGCAATTTCTGTTTCTCTCAGGTGACTGAACAGTGTGCCCTGGGCCCCCAGGTAAGGAGCAGAGCAGCCTGAGGTTGGCTGAGATGAATCTGGACTAAACCAATTGTACCAATAGCTTTGAGTTCCTACCACACATCACAAATACAGCTGACCAGCATGCTGACAGCTCTTTCCAATGCTTCTCCTGTCAGGCCTGACCTGGGAGGCCTCCAGAAGGAGTTTCCCTCTCTCCCAGCATGCAGTGCAAATACACACATGCTGTAAACACGAAATAAACTGGTGATTAATGGACTCTGCGTGTTCAAACAGGTAACAGTCAGACTATGAGCAATAATGAATGCACACAACTTCTGTCTTCAGGCTGAATCCATCCAGATTCTCCTCACCCTTAGCACAACTGAAAGGCTTAAAATGTGCAGGTTGCCCAAAGGAAACGTGGGGACTCTGCATCTCTCATCAGCTGATCCACAGCACATGGTTTAATTTAAACTTTACATTCTGCAAAGAGACAGTTTTCTCAGTGAGCTGTAAATACTACTATAACCAGTGGAATACATGGAACTCTTAATATTTACAACAACAGAAAATCTGGCCCAGTGTACATCAGCCACTGTCTCTGACCATTTTACGGAAAGAAGACCTCCAATCCAACTATATTTAGTCTGACAAACAATGTATTTCCTCTTCCTGTGTTTCTGAGACCAGATGTGCTAAGGCCTACTGCTGTAGCTGTTATTTCACAGAACAGTGCCAAAGTAGAAAATATTCCAGTTTAATCATGTAATTAACTTGGATCTTTATTTTTTTTCCCGTCTTTTAAAGAAGGTAAGATTCCCAGCTAACCTAAATGCAGTCTCTGCTAACAAAAATGGAGATACTTATTTGGACACATCGCTTGGTTGTTGTTTGGGGTTTTGGTGGAGTTCTTTTGAAAGAAAATTAATTCTGGGTCAACCTTAAGGATTAAGGCAACTGCAGATTTTGCCTGCTAGAGGCATATTCCCAAGGATTTGTTTTAATGTTTTTGGAAACTTAAAAATAGCATCTATTTTCATTCTAGCTTTTTCCTTTCCTACTCAGCAAGCACAGATTCTTGACCCTGTATTCCCAGCAGAACTTAAAGCCAGTGTGAGTCTTTTTTTATATCTGCTGGCATCTACAACAGCCTCATCCATACCATTACCAGCCAAACAAGAATCTCTCCCAACCACATGGAGCAGTCAATGCTGAAAAGGCCAGATCCTGATCTCTCTTTCACCATCTCCCATCCAGACTCACAAACACTCCCCTGAAATATGCTGACAACATGGGTTTGCTCCTCTCCCACCCCAATGTTAAACTGAAGGGATTCTTTGGCTAGTCCTCTTTAGTACCACTGGCTGCTCTGTGCCTCACCAACTTGAGTCCTCCAATCTAGGGAATAATTTTCATCATCACATTCATGATACACACCATAAGCTGCTGCCTTTTTCTCTCCAGTAATCTGAAGCAGACAGAAGAGCTTGCCCCACTAAATGACCTTCATAAAGAACATCCTTCCGCAGCTCAGAGAGACCGTTCAATCTATGAGAAGGGCAACTATGAGTGTTCAGAGACCAAGGTGAGCCTGGGAGGTTAATATATGTTTTTTAGATATCATTTCCTTTCTTGCTTTGACTTGGGCTTCACTCATAATCAAGTATGAAAACCAGATGTAACACAGACTCCTCTGCCTCAGAAAATCATGACTAAAAGGGCTTTCTTGGTCTTTTCACAATGTGGGAGAAAGAATAATTCTAGAATAGGTTCTTGGAGATGGGGAAACATTAGGACACATTTTCTCTATACTAATCTCTATAATCACCAGATGCAGGAGCCTACAGAGAAGATGCTGACAGATGTGCAAAAGGAGACTGCTAGTATCCTTTCCATTAATGCCAATGTAAAAAGCAGACAATGCTGGTGACAGCAGCACCAATTCATCTTTTGACATCTAAATATAAAGTAACTTATCCCTAAAACTGCAGGCTGCCAGTAGCAAGAACACAAACTACTCTTCCTCAGAGCACCCATTCTCTAGGATGCCAAACATCCGCCTAAACCAACTTGTGTGAATTTGGCCCACTGCCTTTAAGTTCCTAATTCAAACTGTACTACGATGATGTCACTGTCTCGAGACCAAATTACTTTCTCTTATTCTCTTTTAAATACACATACTCATGATGTGGATGTTTTGTATCAGATTAGACTACTTCTGGAGTTCAGTTCAGGTAACTCAAACCACCTCTAAAAATAAGTGCGCTCACCCAGCAGTGCTAAGAGCAATCAGCCCAGTGGAAGTTCAACAGTTAGGATGAATTACAGTTAAACCTGCACACAAATCACTCAACTGGGCTATCACTGAAGAACAACTCAACACTACTGCGTTTATAATTCCTAAGCATCTAAAAGCCATATAACTTCATTTTGTTTGAGAATTAAACACCATGTCATTGCCATAACTTACTTGAAAACCTTTCTTAGTAGCACCAAAAGATGCTTTTCATCTACGTATCTGTGTACTCTTACAAACCCCTAAGCAGCTGTGAATGACTTTTAGGCAGTTTCTACCTCATGTTTACCTTAAAACTCAGTGTAAGATTTCAAGAAATTATTCTTTTTAGCTAGAAATACACATACTTCTCTTACCATTTCCAACAAAGGAAAGAATGCACAAGCTAAAAATGAGTGTTATTATCAACTGCATCATGTCTGTCAGGCATTTAAATTAAAGTGATGTAGGATACACTGATTAACTGTAACAAAAAGCATCTTCTAGCATCAGACTCAGTTAGCTCGTAATTATCAATAAGGAACATTTCAGTCCAAGTTCTGTAAACCCCAAACACTGAAGATAAGCAAAAGGTGCCGGTATCACCTTATTTTCTTAAACCAATCAATCCTCACCCCTAGGTTCATTGATTCCTTTTGTCACACTTTTCCCCTTCTCTTTTTGATTCCAACTCTTTCCTTAAGAAATAAACCCAGGCCTTGAAACCTTTCAGATGAAGTGATGTTTGCAAAAAGACATCTAAGGTTTTTGTGTTTTCCTCCTTCATGAGCAGGCAAAATGTTCTCCAACATCAACAAAAAAAGGTGTCTGTGGTTTTTTGGAATTAAACAACATAAGGCAATTAAATATTGAGAAGCAGTCACATGTATGATGAACATGAACCTTCCCATCAGTGATGTGGAAAAAGAGCTGAACTTGATCTGATTTATAACCCCCTGTCCTAGGCTGGGCCTGAGGATGTTCATCTCTTGTAGCAACGAAGCAAGCAGTTGTTGCCCACACAGGTAGCACCTCGCCCATGTTCTCGTAGGTGGAAGAAAGATGCTAAGCAGCTGCTTGCTAAACTGAAGGCCATGAAAAATCATTTGGCTCTTCACTGTAACATTAAACCTAATTAATAGGTTTTTGGCCCCCAAATCTCAAACTGTACATCAGTCCGTTTTTGAAAGTTTACGTTTAACATGTCTGGGGGGTTCCCAAGTATCACTATCATCTGTTTCTTCTTCATCTTCCTGATCGTCCAGCATTTCATCTTCCTCCTCGTTCTCATCAAACAGCTCTATTCCAAGATCTAATCTTCTTTGCCTCTCTGCAAACCACTCTCTGACCTGCTCATATCCCATGTGAGATTTGGCTACCAGTTCATCGAGGTCTTGCTCATTAAGGAATTTGTGCTTCATATAGTAGTCCTTCAGGATTGCTGTTCCAGTTTTAAATTTTATGACAGACACACCTCTGTCCCAGCAATTTAACCTCTTGCTTCCCCGAGGCCTCCCCCGAGGCCTCCCTCTCCCCCTCCCTTTTGGTCTTCCTCTCCCTCTCTTCCTGGCAAAGCCTTGGCCATTCAGACTGTTTGCACTGGCGCTCTGGTAATAGTAATACCACTTCAATCCACCATTTTTCCAGGCATAGCGAGTATCTCCAAACCAACTCACAATTTCCGATCTCGGAAGCCCGGTTTCTTCTGCCAGCTTGTTGTATTCTTGTGGAGACGGCCACTGAGTACGCACAAAGGAACTTTTGAGCATGTGCAACTGCTCTGGTGATTTTTTGCCTACTTTGCTTGAAGTGGAACACCCTGATTTTGTTCCTGCTGCTCCATCTCCCACAGATGTTTCTCCAGCCTCTTCTTTTGAGCTGCCAGCATTGCTTTCATTCAAGTCAGCTCCCTCTTCCTTCGAGACATTTGATTTCCTCTTTTCTGCAAACCAGGCATCAATCTCTCTCCTAGTCAGTTTGGTTTGGGCTCTTAACCTATTCATCTCTTCATCAGTGAGGACAGGGTTATTAAGAAAACTTGCTTGGAGGACTTGCAGTTGTTCAGCAGTCTTCTCTTTGAATTTCTGTGGGGTGAAATCAGGAAAAGCACTCCATGATGACTTGCTCTGTGGAGTGACTCCTGTTGGGGACTCGTTCATTTCATCGCTTGAATCAATAACAATGGTGGCACATGAATCACTGTTGAGGTGAATCCCATGATTATTCTTTGAGTTTCTCTGATTGTAGCGTGTATCACTGAACCACTTTTTGATCTCTCCTTTAGTCAGACCTGTTATTTTCATAAGTCTAACAATCTCCGAGTCTTGAGGAAACTGATTTTTAAGGTAGCTGACTTTTAATTCTGCCAGTTGTTCCTTAGTTTTTTTTGCTCGGATGCCAAAGGAGTCAGGATTCATCACCGTGGATTCATTTTTGATGGGCTGAGGGGCTGGAACGGCAGCTACTTGTTTGGTTTCTGCAATAGGCTGAGCACTGTGAATCTGACTCTTCTGTAGCTGTGTTTGGTTTGGGACTCCCGCTACAGTCAAAGCTATTGGGGCTGTTACTGGTAATGTATTTGCACCTGCAACTTGAGTGAGAACAAGTCCTGGCTGACCAACTATTTGGCATGTCTGTAAAATGGAAGGTAAACCATTGCTAGCGGCAGAAATGTGTGCAGGAATAACGGTAATTGTCTGTGGCACAGTATGCACTGTGCCATTAAATTGTTTCCTCCTTGCTTCCTCCACTTCCTCTGGCGTCCAGCTCACACCGTGCTTCAGACGCTGGGCAGAAAACCATATTTTAATCTGTTCCTCTGTGTACTTGGCTTGGGTGGAAAGAACAGTGATTTCCGACATGGTTGGATATGGGAATTTGTTGTAGGTGTTAAGCAAAAGAGGATTGTTATCCAAAGCAGTATTATAGGCTGGAATGCTATTTACAGGTATTAGGACTTTTGGGATCAGGTTTGAGTTCTGTGGGGCTGTAACAGCTGTTATAACCTGTGCCACCCCAGGCTGAAGCACTGGTGCCGGGGTCACCACTGCACCAGCCACATCTGCTGCACTGCACACAACTGAATGGCTTGGTTTTGACTCAGAAACTGCCGGTGGGGGGTTTTCTACTGCTTCTTCGGAGTTTGGCTCATTTTCAGTTCCCTTTTCTTCACCAGGAATGTCATCAACTACATTGTGGAAAACAGCGATACGTTTAGTCTCGGTTTTGTTTTTCATCATTTTCATGATAGGAGTTTTGCTAATTGAGATCCCTGATGAGGGGACCTCAGAAGAGTCGGCCTGTCCAGCATTTTCCTCTCTAACAAAACTTCCATCAAAAGTGAGATCATTTACTGTTTGTTCAAAGATTGTCTGATTATTACGTTTCACCATGGTCAATTTAAAATTCTCCTCTCCAGGGTGGTGCTTCACATTATGCTCTGAGAGGGCATCATATCTTTTGGTAAGGAAATTACATTCTAAACAAACATAGGATGAATTTAACACTACGTTGGGATGTTCTGAATCCACATGAAAAGTAAACATATTGAGATCTGGAGTCTGAAAAGTACAGTATTTACACTCATAACCACCTTCTACTTTATTTGTATTTTTCTGATTGTCTGAATCCACATACTCATGAACATCCTCATCACTTGTTACACTTTCTGCTGGAGGGTTTTCTGCTGGCGTGAGCACAGGTGGTCCTTCCTCCAGGTCTGATACCATTTCCAGATCCGGGTCCTGCTCATTGGCTAAGACCATGCACGGTGTTGTTGATTTTCGTTTACTTGCCATGACTGTTACTGTGAAAACTCTACTGACTGGTCAGATACAGACTTTGCTTCCAGCTCTTCTTGACTAATAATAATAGTAATAATGGCTTTCGGTACTTCAAGTCAGTTCTTGTGAAGTCTCAACATTTATCCCATTAGCAGCTTTTCTTCTGTAGTGCAATCAGATTTAAAATAGATAGTTGAGGATGAGATGTTGAGACACGATGGTTTAAAGTCCACATCCACTACCTGTAGCAAAGAAGAGACAGTGAAATTAGTTCAATTTAAGGAGTAACTTCTATTCTGCTACATATTATGGCTTAAGGTTATTCAGTCCTTTGAGGTTCCATTGTTATCCCCTGAAACCAGTAGACCCATTCCAAGAGGAGATAATCAAAGCTAAGAAAGGCAAAATCCAATCAGCTTATTACAGGCTGAAATTTGTTCCAGTTCACGTAAACACAGTGAAAGACATAAACAAACAATGGTATAAAACAGGTAACTTCCTGACTGTTTCCCTTTCTTCAGAAGCCTTTTTCTTGGCACAGTGCTGGGGTCACTCTTGACTTTGGATTGCTTTGCTTAACCTATCACAACCTCTCTCCACAGCTCTGTGAGCTCAAGTCCTTCCTATCATTAACTTGAGCCCAGTCTGACACCTCCACTACCAACTCTGTCATGTCTTTTGTGTCAGAGGCTGTGAGGAGTCCCAGAAAAGGCAGGTTTAGAGAGTTTTACTATTGCATCATACACGCAAGCATGACCATGTGCAGGGGTCTTTCTCTGATGTCTGAAAACAGGCAAAACAATGTCTTTTTAAGGCACTTCAACAGACAAAAGACTACTATCCTTTCTTCATAGCTTCCCAAATATCATTCTCCAATTGAAGACCAATCCCAAACCAATAAAAGTTGGGTGCTAGCACATGGCAATTAGCTGAAATCTGTTTTCATGCCTCTGTGCATTAACAGAGAGATGACTGGTTGTGTGAACATACCACAGAGAAAGAGAATTAAAGACGGATATAGAAAGCAGAAGCCAAACAAAATTATGTATTCTCTGTTCAGAATTCTTTGTGCATTTCTAAGAAAAACTGAAGTACCACCAAATAAAGCTGAGGCTGACAGAAATTCAGAGAATATATTCTTATATTAGCATAGACTGAGGTGAATTTTATCCCAGAGACCACAACTAGTCTGCTGGAAGTGATGCACAAACTTATGCAGAGGGTTATAAACTCTGTAATAGTTTTCTTCTTGAATTAAAATCCAACACTGATTTCTCATACCAAAGGTCCCATAGGTACAAGAACTCTGAGACAGTGGAACATCATCTACTTCCCTAAGTGGGGGTATCCTCAAGTCCAAGAGGAATGCATCCCCAAGTAGCTGTTTCAGAAAGTTTAGAAAGGGAACAGCATGTAACAGGTTAAAAAACAAAGGCCATTTTTGCATGACGAGGTAGAAAAAGAACAGTGTAAAAGGAAGAAAGGCAGTTATAAGGAATGGGAAGGGGAAAAGAAATACTATTTTTCACTGTATGATTATTCTTTTTTGATTATGGGAGGGCAGAATAGGAAGGAAGATAAATAGTTCTTAGCTTCACATTTTTTCTTGCAAAAGACAAAAGTGTTCATCGATAGATGCCACCCAGAGCTGCTCCATAAGCTCTGTTTTTGAAACTGTGTGTCTCACCTCACTTCTTTAGAAATATCTTCCCCAAATGTTTTTGTCACTCTCTGCACTACTTCTGTGACTACATCCAAAGTGCACAGCCTCACATGATACGCTTTTTATGCCAAGGATATGGTTAAATGGCATTAAGGACACTGACAATGCTCAATAAATCTTGGGTAATCATCATTGCAGGATGACAATTACTTAATGGTACTGGAGTAGAAAGATACCCTTCTTCAACAAGTTAATAGAGGCAGTCTGTAAAGCTGAGCATAGAAGTGCAAAAGACATTTATTTTAATATATATACAAAGAATGTATTGCTGGCCACCTCATTTCTCCCATCAATGAGAGAACCATGAAGCAAAACTAAATGGATCCATTTGTCTCAGCGTCTTGAGGGACGAGAGGTAGAGCATTACTAACCGTGCTGCTTCTCTGTGGGGCTGGAGGGCTCTTGACAAAAGAAAGACAACTGCCAAGACAGTGTTGAGCAATGCTCTGGGGGAAGAGCTGGGTGGTATTACCTAATCGTTCTGTGATCTTGAGTAAAATTTCAGAAATGCCAGAAATGCCCATTTTCAGAAGTGGCTGCACAGCCAGTTTTGCTGACTGAAGTTGCATTTTGAGAAGGGACTGTGGTGCTCTGCAGTGCCTCCTCCCAGGACAGCACGTAGGATCTGTACACAGGGCAGCCTGAGTGAGCTCAGGGCCTTGCCAAGGATCCCGCTCTGGGATGGCCCAGAGTGCAAGTGAAAGCAACATTTGACCTGACTTGCAGTGTTGATCTATGCTCAAGATAAGGCTGGAGATGAGGAATAAAATGGGAAACCTGTCCAAAAAAATGATCAATTGACGTTTTTCCCCAGTCCCCTCCTGTACCCAAAGGCATTCAGAGTCTGTAAGCACACAGGTCCACGTGCAACTGCATCACCTGCAGTCTTTTAGCTAAGTCTCTGTATCACATCTCTGCTGTGGTTCAGTTTTGCTCATAGTTCATAGGCAAATTATCCTATTCCTCTATTGTTTACCAACAGAGGAACACGTTTCTTTGATGCAAGCAGGTCTCAGAAGAAGAAAGCTGCATCTGTGCTCTTCTGATTACACTGTGTAAGATTTTTTTTTTTAAAGGATGTTGTGGTGTCAAAACCCTGCTTAATTCAAGGCTATGAAGTGCTACGACAGCATTCACTAAAATCTCAACAAAGAGAGATGCTTGCAACCCTTCCCAGCCTTCCCTCCTCTACAGATGTTACAGAAACCTCCATTCCCTTCTCAGTGCTGTTTATGTGATTATTCCACCTGTAGTACCTTGCTTGGCATGTTCTCTCAGGTTAGCAGGGGATTATGAAACTCACACTTGAGTAGTTTATCAAACCAATTAGGCATCACCCTTGGAACCTACAGTTCCTCTAAAACACCTCTCCTGTACTGCTTACAGGAATGTCAATTGGGACCTTGCCATGTATCTTGATTTCAGTAAGGTTTGCAACATTCCATTCCAGTAGGCCAATGGCTCCAAGAAAAAATTAAATCAGATTGGCTCGACATAGCGTGGTTTTGACAAATCCACCTTTGTAAGAACCTTGTTACAATTCTTTAGGTTCTTACAGACTGGTTTTTAGTAAATTCTTCCTGTGTCGTCCCGGGAATGAAGACCCCATTAACCAATCTGTGACGCACTATGTGTTCTCCTCCTCTGCTTAAGTGTCTCCCTTGTTTAACAGTAGGTACTACGGTACTATGCTTGTCTGTCTGAAGTCTGTTGAGACCTCCTCCCATTTTCCATGAGTTCCTGAAGACCATCACTAATGGCTCAGAGATTGTGTTCCCTTGTCCCTTACATATATTAGGGTCCAATATGCGACTTAATATTGTTAAAGATTTTCTATTTTGATCTGGACTGTATTTTTATCCCTCGCTGTTAATATTGACATTATATTGTAAAATTTGGTTTGTAATGAAATATTTCAAGGTGTTTGCTTTATGTCACAAGCAGAATTTTTTAATAAAATAATGTGAAGAAAAATAATTTACATTCTTAATTTCTCAAGACACTTATTACTGCAATCTCCTTCTCTAATTTCACCTCAGATTTTCACAGAATTGATATTCCTAGCAAATCAGCTCACAAACAGACATTTTGCTAGGAACATAAAAACAGTAAGTGCAGGCATATTTTCTGGAAGGTCCACAATCTGGTATTTTATTTTTTTAGCAAGAAATTGGTCAGGACACAGTTCTTCAAAAACAAGTTAGCAATCCCGATTAATTAATAATTATACTAAGACAGATTAATTCCAGAGTGGAATTCAGTATTTAAAGTTGTCTCTATAGCAGTTTTAGATTAAGACTTACATAAATATTTTCTAAATGGAGGCAGAAACCTTCTGCCCATTTGATTATAGTTTGAGAACAAAAAGACGTAGAGTTGACAGCAGAAGACACACGTAAGGCACCTGCTTCCAGCACAGGTTTTTTACTCACTTCTCCCTTCCCTCCCCCAAACAGGAGTAGCTGATGCAGCAAGAAAATAAATGAGTTTACAGAAAACGCTGCATGTTCAGGGTGTATGGTTTATGAAAGGCATTGCTTCCTGCCTGCTGTACAGCTCTTCCGTCCAGCGTGCAGGAAGAGCATGCCAACAAAAAATCCAAACCCATGTAATGTGATTTTAAGAACATACACAGAGTGGCTCAGGAGAAGATGAAGCAACAGAAACTGCTTCTAACTTTTAAATCCAACTACATTACAAATTGTCCATGATCTCTCCCAACACAGAAAATGTTGCTTTCTCCTTATAATCCATGACAATGTGCAGTTGTTGATCCTTTGTTTAGTCTCCTTTTATTACCATTTATTCAGAGTAGATGTATCTATGTCAGAAACTATTCTGCAGAGAGCCCAGAATAGGCTAATATGCTCTGATTTGTGCTGTCTCTCAGTGAGAAGGGTGAAGAACTTTGTTGTACAGTGCCATTTTCTTCAGTTGTTCATTATCTGAGAAGTTCAGAAGGCTACTGCTCATGACTATAAAACAAAGTCACATCTCTATATAAATCCTGAAATATTCACATTTGATTCCCATTTTCCAATAAGGTCTGGTACTAATTCAACATGGGAGCAGAACCTGTCACACTGATTCCAGCAGGACTTCACGTGTGCTACAAAGATAAGGGCACACTCGGGGGCCTTGCCCCAGTACAACTGGTAATGAGGGAGACGAGTACCAAAAGCGACTGTGCTGCCCATGCAGAGCTTCAGGGTGTGCCAAAGCCAGCCCCGTGATGGAGCACTGGGCAGCTGACACAAAGCCCAGCAGAGGCTGAAGGGAGCCTGCCACAGGACATGTGACTAGACTTTCTCAGCTACTTCCTCTCAACACTGGTTTAATGGGTAACAAGCAGGTTCCGTCAAAGTAAATTTCAGAATTTCATGCCAGAAGTGACTACTTAATGACCTAGATTATCTTTCTCTTCCAAAATACACTCCAGCTACCTCTACAGTGAGCACAGAAACTTCTGCCACTGCTTTTGATACAGAAAGCCATTACCAGATTTTATACCTCATCATG